TTCGTTTGTAAGGCTCATTATACAAATACTATTTCAAAAGACCTTGGGTTAAATTCTACAAGTGTTAATCCTTCTTATACTCATACTTCTCTTTCTGAGGAAGAAATTCTTGAAAATCATATGTCAGTTTTGAATATTTTTAATATTCCACAGCGCCAAAATGAATTTGAAATACCCTATATATATTGGATACCGAAACATCGTGAGAATCCTTACAAACAAAGACACATTGCGGGTTCCCGTAAATGTTCAACCATCCCTCTTTCGTTATATCTCACTATGATATTGACAGAAATGAAGGAATAACTTCAAGAGTACTGTGCAATAATATATTCAAGAAGTGGTGTGAATCAGATGCGGATACTCAAAAATTCCAAAGAACTTTTGAACAATTTGAAATCACAAGATTTTACCAAAATCTACAGCTTAAAAACTTACGACTTTTCAACTTCATACACAACCATTCCCCACGATAAAAAGACTTTTTTTTATATCATTGACAGCTGCTTTTTCAGTAAAATAGAACTCGTTAATTCTCTTACCTGGAAATTGGTCATTTGAAAATTTTTTTTGTTGAAACACACTCTGATTACACACACAAGTACTCTGAATTTGACATCAAAAAGATGCTTAAGTTTCTGATTGAAAAAATCGATGTGGTTTTTGGAGACCAGGTCTTCAAACAATCTATTGAAATTTCCATATGGGTACCAACTGCGCTCCGTTATTAGCAGACCTATTTTTGTATTCAAATGAAGCAGAAGTTGTGCAAAATCTTATGCATGAAAGAAGAAAACACTTGCTGTGGCCTTCAGCTCGACATTTAGATATATCGACGACGTATTGTCAATTAACAATAGTAATTTCCATTCCTACTTCGATACGATATATCATGAAGAGCTTGAGATAAAAGATACTACAAAGTCTGACACATGTTTCATACTTTGATATTTTATTTGAAAAAGACGTAAATGGTAATCTCACAACCAAGTTATATGATAAACGTGATGACTTTAACTTTCTATCGTCAACTTCCCTTACTTATGCAGCAATAAACCCTCATCACCTGCATACGGAGTATATATATCTCAGTTGATTCGATACGCAAGAGCATGATATACATATAAACATTTTTTTAAATGGGGTAAATCATTGACAAGCAAGTTGATGAAACAAGAATATTCGTTAAAAGTCATTTCGTTAAGTTCTTTGGTCGATACAATGACATTGTCAGCCACAGGCACCTGACGTTACTTATTTTTCTTTTAATAAAAAAAAATACACATACCTAATAATAAACAAGGTACCCATCGAAACCCGCCATCAACGTAATATACATGTAAGAACATTCATTTTATTTTTCTCAAAATAATTTCGATATAGCTTGATCAAAGCGATTGTATTTTATTAACGAAGATCGGCCTGATCATGCTAGCTGATCAATGAACATTTTCGAGACAAATTGAGTCGGTTGTAAGTCCCTACTTACATGCACTAAATATAATAAATAACACTGTCATTATTGATGTTATTTAAAGTATGTACGCACGTGTGTGAGAAGGGGGGGGGGAGGGAGGTCCACACTAAAATTATCCCAGGAAGTGCTGAGATCTGCAATTTTATGTATTGCAATAAAGAAGTGGCATGGCGACATTTTTATTTTTTTTTCTTGGTGACAGATTATACATATACATGTTGCATAGGCTTATGTTTGATTTCCTTTCATATCCTTTTATCAGTGTGACCCCTCTCCTTTTTCAATTATTAAGCATATGCCAGGTATATATATATATATTTATAAGAAGTGTTTTATCTTTCCATTTTGCATTTTTTTTTCATTTCTATAATCGAAATATTTATTAAAATTTCAAAGTAATTATAACACGCCGCTTTAGATCCACCACAAAACTGACAAATACGGAATTCCCATTAGCATATTGATGTAAACTTCCAGCCCCCCTTTGGCGATTTCTCGGAATGTTGAAGCAGTATGTCTAGTTTGACGAGGGATTTTCAATATTTGCAAGTGTTATGCGCCTTTCTGGCTGCAGTGTCCTTAAGTTTAGACCTCGAAAGACTGGCCACAGAAAGAATATGGTTGCAGGGAATTTATTTGACGGAGTTTCAGACGAAAATACAAGTGATGACCTACTTCGAAAATCCAAGATGGCGGGTTTCGATGGGTACCTTGTTTATTATAAGGTATGTGTATATTTTTTTTTTATTAAAAGAAAAATAAGTAACGTCAGGTGCCTGTGTTGTCAGCGCATACAATTTATCATTGAGACAAATGCTGACTGACGTTTTTCGTGCTAATGGTTAGTCCATTATTTTTACATTGAATTGACGATGGATTTTTCCCTTATTTCCCGATCATGACAAGGATCACACGGCGGATGTGACCGGTGAGCAGGGGATGCTCACTCCAACATGGCACCTGATCCCAACTCTGATGTTTTGGAGGTCCGTGTTTGCACTGTTCCTTTTTTGTATTGTTCTATGGACTTTGCATTGATATTGAATACTGTTCGTTAGCTCCATATCCTTCTTCCATACAGATGTATATGTAAGTTTAAATGTAAGAGCTAATTAAGGGAATTGAATTTATATAGTTAAATAACGTTGCTTTTCTTGCTTCTATGCTTTTTTGATCTGTAAAACATTTCAAAGTTTATAGTTATCAGAAACATATCATGCCATTTTTGGAACAAAACCTTTGAATGATAAAAAACACCAAAAAATATAAGAATAAATTTATGCTCCTCAATAAATAAATACATGTATTCATTGATAGTGATGCTACTATTAAGATATGCAATCAAATATATGTTGGAAAGGCTTAAAGTACATAAAAAAATTCCCCCTACTTGAAAAATATCAGGAGGCACATATATAAGGTTTTAATGTATAAAAAAGTAGGGGGTCAAAATTCTATGGGGGTCATTTTTCAACGTGTGTGGAGTCATAGAATTACATACTGGTCTGGAATGTTTTTCTACAGTCGAAAAATGACCCTACTTGTCGTAGAATATTGACCCGGGGTCATTTTTCTACGTAGAAAAATGACCCCCTGGTCAATATTCTACGGGGGTCACTTTTCGTCGTTACACCGGTATTTAATCGATTTTACGTTGTAAAGACAAACGTGACTTTTTGAAAATGGCGTAATTTTCCAAAGCGATTGCCGATTTTCCAGACGACTGACAATTTTTTCCTGTTTAACTTTATGAAGAAAGCATGGTATATTCTTAAAGCATATTTTCTCTAGTTTTAAAATATGTAAAAATTATTGTTATTACTTTAAGGTATATTTTAAAAACAAGAATTTTCTTGCACTTATGTGTTTTTTCTCGGTTTTATTCGTAATGTTTAAACAAAGCTCAGTTTTATGTTTATTTCTGTGTTGAAATAGGGAAAACAAAATAAAGCTGGTAAAAGTGGAGAAAATTTCCTTTCCAACAAGCCCTTACAGGCCTTCTTACACTCAGTATTTTCTTAATTACGATAATTTTAATTTGTGACCTTCGCATAGTTTTTATGGAAAAATCGGTCAATATTTACCATGTAACGTCAAGGTCGATATTGTTGCGTCTTACTCGAAACAACAAATTCTTTTATAAGACTTTTTTGACCATTTAAATATATATTTTTTACTGAAATAAATGCATAATACAAAAATACATTTAAAAAAACAAATATTTACTATCGTTCTGCCTTTTGTGTGAAATGAAATGTCAATTTATTCATCCACATGTAATGATGAAAATTTCATGTAGTGATGTACAATGTTGAGAAAAATTGTAGATTCCCTAAACGTCGATCTTTAATCATAGGGGCTTGTCTTCCGGATTGATAAATGTAAAATAATTTTTCAAAAATTTGTATATACATTAAATACACTCTAAAAATTGCTTTAATAAAGATTCTGACATGATCAGGCGAGAAAAATAATGTTTTAAAAAAAGTACTACACCTATATACATAAACTCTCAAAGGGACGCAAGCTGACATCTTGGAAAAAATACCCCCTCCCACTTCAGCACCTATTTCTGGACTCTAAGGCATTAATTTATTTAGTTGCCACAGTTCTCTTCCCTACAGTGATGATTTTCCTAAATGTTGATGTGGTTGTCATTCGTGGACACGCGTTTAATCAACAGAAAACGGTTACAATTTCTTTGACTTGGAGCTCATCTCGCTGAATCGACCTCAAAAGAACGGAAGTTGACAGGGTTGCATGGTAACGACGCAAGGGCAATAATCGTGGTATAGCCTATAGCGTGCTTTTAGAGCAAGTGTCCTGTAAATTATGTAACAAATCACTTATATATTAAATGAGTCTTGACAATTTAGCCTGTGAAACCAAACTTTAGCCGGTATTTATCAGTTTTTACTGTCCTTTTCTTGTCGGTAAACATTTTTTCCGCGAAGCTGGGAGTCCTTTGGTGTTACCATTTGCTTTCGATTACCCTCTGTGTTTTCCGTATACAAAAGTCAACTTCCGTTCTTTTGAGGTCGATTCAGCGAGATGAGCTCCAAGTCAAAGAAATTGTAACCGTTTTCTGTTGATTAAACGCGTGTCCACGAATGACAACCACATCAACATTTAGGAAAATCATCACTGTAGGGAAGAGAACTGTGGCAACTAAATAAATTAATGCCTTAGAGTCCAGAAATAGGTGCTGAAGTGGGAGGGGGTATTTTTTCCAAGATGTCAGCTTGCGTCCCTTTGAGAGTTTATGTATATAGGTGTAGTACTTTTTTTAAAACATTATTTTTCTCGCCTGATCATGTCAGAATCTTTATTAAAGCAATTTTTAGAGTGTATTTAATGTAGATACAAATTTTTGAAAAATTATTTTACATTTATCAATCCGGAAGACAAGCCCCTATGTCTTTAATTACTAAAAAAAATCAGATTTTAATATAGTTGTATCTTGTTATATTGTATACTTAATTTGCAAATTAATTAGATCTATATTAGCACGAAATTTAACAAAACAAGAATTCGCATTTATAAATAAATACGACTCATCATTGTATGAGTTGATACGAATTGAAATAACCACGTGTTTCCGCTATGGTAGCAGTAAACAAACAACATGATGGTGATCCGAAATCTGAACGTCAATTTTCATGATTATTTCACGACGAAGATCATCACATCAATGAATCAAATAATACGGACATCCTTTGGTATTAGCAGGTGAGAATACGTGTATATTGACTGAATAGTTTAAGTTTAAAACGCAATTAGTTCACGTTCAAAAGAAAACTAAATGTAGACATGTACATGTACTAGATCTTCATATTTCAGTGTGCGTATTTCGTATTGTTCAGCCAATTTTGTGTTGCTTTTGAACTTTGATGCTTTTAACAAACACTCGTAAGTTCAAAGTAAAATCAAAGTTGCCATAATATTAAATAGATAGTTGTTTTCAGTATGTGTGTACCAGTGTGTACATATACCACTTTCACTTTGAATTTTTAGGGTGCTGGCAACATATGGAACAATACTTTCATCTGTGAATACCCACTTGCTAAGCCCACCATGATCTACGAATGCCAATTAATATGTAAGGACACCAATGAACAGGTAAATTTTTGTTTTGTTGTTGAAAATTTCTGTATTTCTAAAATTTCAAAAAATAAAGTCAAATTTCATGTGCGTCATTCTCATGATAAATCATTCATACGAGTTTATAAACATTTGATTTATATTTTGAAAAATAAGTGTTTGAAACACATAATACTTATGATGCTTGATTATTCATACAAACACATTATTTAAACACGTAATATCTATTTGAATGAATGCCGAGATATGAAACAAGCTGTTTTTATAGACTGCTGTTGTATTTCCAATCTGCATAAAGTTTGTGGTTAGAATTTCCATCTTCTCATTTTTTCAGACACTTTCCAATTATCGTACATCATATATATGGGTGGTCAAACTCACTGGATGGTTTATCAACACTCCCATGCTCACGAACAGCCTTGCCCCAGGAATTTTGCCCTGAAGTAACATTGCAGTCTATTGTCTCCCTTCTTTTTACAACCCTGGCAGCCATGCAGGTATGCAATCTATGAAAGCCATGAAGGGACATAGAATTTTTAAAAATTTATAAAAGTAAACCAAGTTCTCGATTTACACAATCCATTCTCTCGGATTGACAATCTGTTATAACAAATTGCCAATTCATATTCTCACAGATTATCTTCCCTCAAATTACACAATCCATTATCTCAGATTGTATAATTCATTCTCTTAGTTTAATTGACACGTTCCCTCGGAATGTAAACCCTTCCCATGATTTCATTAAAATTATTTATCTGTACATATCGGATATGGTAATACATGTTTAAAGAATAGAATATTGTAGTATTTTACATCCAACCTTTTATTACATATTACCATATTACCAAAATGAGAAAAATACATGAACATTTTCAAATCCATATGCTAGTACTGATATTTGTACAACAAAAAATCTTAGAGGTTTTTGGTTACGTGTATATTAAGATAATTGAAAGTCCGATATAGTAAAGTGAATATGGGTCCTGTGTAATCATAATATTTCTAAAATAAATATACATTGAATTAGTTATGAAAGAGGTTGGAAATGACCGGTTGCTGAAACAAAATAAAAAGAAGTGAATGCACTAATTGATTAAAATGGTTGGATGTATCTGTACATATATGTAATAAAATTCAAGAGCACAGATTGCCAAAATCATAGGACTGACGTTGTAACAAATCGAGATCTCGAATTATTAATCTGTGAAAATGAATTACCAGTATGTAATTCGAGATCTCAAATTATGAATCAAGGGGGCGAATTAGTAATCTGTAAGATCGGATTGTGTAATTTGAGATCTCGAATTATAAATCGAGGGAATGATTTAGTATCCGTGGAATTGGATTGTCTAATTTGAGATTTCATTTTTAACTTTTTTGAAAAATTGCTGTGTCCCTTCATGGCTTTCATTGCAATCTAATTAAAATTAGATCTTCCATCCACTGCCAGATTTTTTTTATATATTGCGATAGCGTAAACAGAGGTCTGGCTTTAGTCAGATTGCCATATATGCTATTTGTTTTAGTTCAGTAATTTTACCATAATGGTTTACTACAAGGTTGTTGAATTATCAGTCCTGATACATTGACTTAACAATATCATTTAACTACTTGAATCACACAATAGATGCAATCTTAATTTTAAAAGGAAAATCAAATAAATGTAGTAATTTTAGCATTCTTAATTTTATTTATAAATGTAAATTCATATACACAATGATATGTATCTGTTTCAAAATATTTAAATCTTTTACAGGATAGAAGCTGATCACTTGAACTTGAAAGTAAATTATAATGTCTTGGACAAGTCAAAGAATTTCCTCCAGTCTTACAGAGAAGTAACAGTTGATAAGAGAATGGTGGGCACAAAGTAAAAGTGCTCTTCAACATTTTGTTGAAGATTTCAGTCTGATTTGGAATTCATCTTGCAATATATCTGGATTTGTATATTTGGATATAAGCATCAAATTTTCAACTTATTGACTAAACAGTTTTGGGCTAAATATTGCCAATGTTATTTATTATTATCATTTCCTTCCAAGATAACATGTCAAGTCTTTATTGTACCCCTTAAGCTCTGTTATACCAGAAAAATCTTGTAATGAAATCATTTAGTTTTTTTTCTTGTTAGATTAAATCCATGAAAATAAAGATTATTTTTAATGGCATCAAGAGAATGGATTTCTTGTTTAACAAAAAGATTGTATACATGTTTTGCTAGGGGTTTGTAAGAAGCAGACTAGAATTCTTTGCTTGCAAATTTTGTCGTTCGCCATTTTTATTACGTCAACTATTACATGATTTATCCATGTATGAAGCATTTCAAAATTGATATTTACTTACAGTTTAAAGCAGAATTCTGTACTGATATGACCTTGACCCCCTGAAGAACAAGAGTGTCAAGGTCAATTTTTTTAATACAAAAATGTTCTTTCATCTTTATGGCCCATATATATCTTACAAACAATATCATGAAATATACAAAAAGTGTCTAGAATGTGTCCAGAATGTGAAATAACAAACATGTATATAGCCAAAACCTTTAAAATGTTGTTGCTTAGCAACCACTAAAAGGTCATTAAACAGATATTTGAACTAAAATGATGCATGGATATTGCAGTTCTGATCCCTTCTTGAGAGTATATTCAGAATTTTCCATTTCAGCATCCATTGTGTAAAATTATGGCAAGAATATCGAAATGTGTTGAAAAAAGTTGATGAAACTTTTGCACTTAATTGACCTTTGACCTCCTAAAAATAGTTCTAATGAGGTCAAACTTTAACACAATTTATCTACTGTATGTCCCTTGTAATTTTATGACCTCACATCTAACTTTAATATGTGCATGGATGCATAAATGTATCTAGATTGAGTAAAAAATGAAAATTTCTGCCCGAAATTAAAGAATTCTGCGTTGCTTAGCAACCCCTTTTAAGTAGTTATATGCAGAATTGAAAAAAAAGTTTATGTGTTTCGTGTACTACAGTATAATGCTCTTTTGTGGGTATATCCCAAATTTCCTATTTCAACATACATAATACTTAATATTTAGCTTGAAGATTAAAAAGTATCAAAAAATTCCATAAAATTTTGCACTTAATTGACCTTTGACCTCAATTTTTACTAATAAGGTCAGTGGTTGAGCATCTAAATAGTCATAAAATATCATCTCTATGTAATCCCCTTCAAAATGGTATGCATTATGCCTAGCTTTCACCTAGGATAAAAAAGTTAGAAATAATTTAGTAATGACATGTCAAAAGGCCTCCAAAAACACGTAAAATGCGCCGGAAGAGAAAGGGTTAAAGAAAATTATTTGTCAGTTTCGAAATTGAATGATTATTTGAGAAAATTTGAAGAGAGGCATATCCAAGGTTATAAAATGGGATGTGTACCGTACTCTTTTTCGTTTCTACCTATGCATAACCATACAAAAAACCTGGTGAAACTTCTCGAAACACATTTTGTTAAAGTCGATATACAGAGGACAGTAAAAGTTAGAGTTGGAAATCAGGGTCTTTACGATCTGGACGAAGATTTAAACATCATTCGTTACAATGCTCCTGAAATGAAATGGTTTATTGGTCAAATAATCCGCTTACTTTCCCAAAACAATTCTAATGCAGACCATATTGGTGCTCGGTGCAAAATACTGTCGTATAGAAATCTTACCAAACACGTCTTAATGCAAATGGAAGAATACAATTGGCTTCAACATGGTGAGACTCCTCTGATACAGAGAAGTGGGGGTGACTTTTCTGTATGTTCCGATCGTGTTACCTATATAAGGGAGAAAGAAACAGCAATATACTCGAACGAAGACTTAAACATGGAAAATAAAGTCTGGCGAACGATGCAGGTGGAGGTTTCTAAAGTGAAAGAGTACGATGTTGACCAACGACCCCGGCGATGCAAGAAAATATCGGAGAGGACAGAACTGGCAATAATACCGTACATACCTGATATCAGATCGTCTAGGATCTATTGAGGAGATATATAAGTATTCCCAACAATTGTGGGAAATTGCTCTGTATTTCGGAAAAGCATTTGACAATTATAAGTAATATTACTTGAATTTTGAACCTTCGAACGCAAAGGTCTTTTAATTGTTAATGTTGGTTATTGCAATTTTAGCAATACATCAAATTATATAGGTACATGTAGTGTGAATGATAACATTTTAAAAACTTTTTTAGACACTATTCTTCTTTATATTCGAAAGAAATTTATATTTTATAGATTAATATTTATAAAGAAACTGCATTATATAAAAGATTTTAAGCCATAAATATCGCCTATGTCAAAAAAGGATCTTTGTATGTGTTTTTAGAGACATGTAATAATGCCAAAACGTTTGTTGAATTCTATTATTTATTCACATCACTGTACTGCTGCATGTATCTTTATTATTTATTCTGATATCTTTTATTCAATATATGAAATCAATTATATATGGGATAATAAGAACGTTTTTAATTTAATAGGCTTATGATTGTTTTGTAAGGAAAATCGAAGTGAAATAAAAACATATTAAAGAGAAATTTTGCTTGTTTCTTTTCTAGCTTTCCTTTGTAAATTTCTCAATACTCCATTTATTGAGACGTCGAGTCACCGCTTGCCAGTGGAGGATTGAAAATGTAGAACTTAGAACACATGACGCATATGACCTTTACGAGGTAAGGGATTTTTTTCTAGCCAGTACATAATCCGACACGGGATCTCTGTTTATAGTTCTTATTTGAAGGACTGGTCTTCACATCGCACAGTGGGACTCGAGGACTCATGTAAGGAGCACCTTTAACTTTGCGTCTCTAGAACAAAGGATGTAATTTTTTTTCCTCATGCCGAAGTTCATCTCCCAAAAGTTTCATAAAATCAAAAGCAAAATAAATGCTGCAACCTACATCTTGTCTCTTAACTCTTCCTTTCAGAGCGCTTGACTTTTAATTTAATTCACGTGATTATTTGAAAGGTTTCCGTGAGGTTAAAACTATCTATAATTTCTAAATTTATAGTGTTTTTATTTAACCATTTTCTAAATAGTTCTAACACATAAAAGAAAATACAATGATAAAAATTGTGTTTAAAATATTCTTTTTTTAAATATAATATTTATTACTTTTTGTTGTTAAAAAATCTTCTCACAATCAAATTCATCAAGAAACGTTCCCTCTAAAATTTCTTATCATGCAATACATGTACCTGAGATAATGCTTGAATAAACTATCTGACACTAATATTATTATTGATAAACCTGTTATGCGCCTTTAAAATGATTTTAATATTTATGTATCATAGGTCTAAACAGATAAACCATTCATATTTTGATATCGTCTGGGTCGTAAAAATCCAAATCCTGCTATAATTTACAATAACACTACCAGACAATCAAAATTGTA